TGGGACTCTGCCACTGACCCCAAGAGCTGCCGGAGCCCTGCCACGTTTCCACTGACCTTGAATCCACAGGACTCTGCACCCACTGACGTGATATTCTGGCATTCTGCATCATTGCATGTGGTTGTGTGAGTCTGAAGAAGGATTTATAAACTAGTATAATACTTAGGAATTTGAGTTGGACTAGGCTGGGCACTCTCTTGATATATAATTACTTCTTAATATGAAATTTCACATATATGAGCATCACTGGATTTGTTTTACTTGTCAACACAACCCAACACAGTAGTATCTCATTGTAGTTTTGATTTACATCTGTCTAATGGCTAGGATGAAGAACCCTGGTGGTGTTACATCTGGGATGCTAACAGTAAGGTAATCAGTTCGAAACCATCAGCTGTTCCATGGGGGAGAGACAAGGCTTTCTTCTCACATGAACAGTTACCGTTTCAGAAATTCACAGGGAAGTTTAACCTTGTCCTCTGGGGTTGCTGTGGGTCTGCCTGGCCTTGATGGCAGTGAGTTAGGATTTTTGAATAGCTAGGAGCTTCAGCGGTCTGTCAGGTAAGCCGTTGCCTGCAAGCCTTAAGTTGGTCATTTCAAAGCCTCAGCCTCTTGTCAGGAGAAAGATGAAATTATCTGATCCCATAACAATGTACAAAGTCTAAGAGTTTCTGTAGAAGGAGCTCTGATGGCAATGTGAGTTATGAATTGAATACTTACTGCAAGCCTGCACTTCAAAACCACCAAGTGCTCTGCAGAAGAAAGATGAGGTTTACTGCTCTCATTAAGATTTGCCCCCAGAATGCAACCACGAGGTGTCGAAGGGATCAGGTGTAAGGCATCATCAAAACAAAAAATCTTACCATAGTGAATGATGGGGGGAGTGCGGAGTGGAGATCCAAAGCCCATTAGTAGGCCTCTGGAGATCCCCTTGCAGAGGGGTCTCGGGGAGGAGACGAGCCAGACAGGGTGCGATGTAACAACGATGAGAAATACAACCTTCCTCTAGTTCCTAAATGTTTCCTCCCCGCTCCCACTACCTTGACTCGAATTCTATCTTGCAAGACTGGCTAGACCAGAGGAGGTACACTGGTACAGATAGGAACTGAAAATACAGGGAATCCAGGACGGATGAGCCCTACAGGACCAGTGTTGTGAGTGGCAAAACAGGGAGGGTAAAGGGAGAATGGGTAGGAAAGAGGGAACCGAGTACATGGAACTGTGTGTGACCTCCTCCCTGGGGGACAGACAACCGAAAAGTGGATGAAGGGAGACGTCGGACAGGGCAAGATATGACAAAATACCAATTTATAAACTATCAAGGGCTCATGCGGGAGGGGGGAGCGGGGAGGGAGGGGAAAAATGAGGACCTAATGTCGGGGGTTTAAATGGAGAGAAAATGTCTTGAGAAACGATGTACAAATGCGCTTTACACAATTGATGTGTGTATGGATTGGGATAACAGTTGTATGAGCCCCTAATAAAATGTTAAAAAATAAAAAAAAATAAAATAAAACAGACATCATGTAACCAACAAAACAAAAAAAAAGATCTGCCCCCAGAAACACACAGGGGCAATTTTTTTCCACCCTTTGGTTGACTGTGAACTGGTATAGTAGTGGGCACATGGAGTATAATGGTTAATGATTGTGAGAATATTTTCATCTAAATGCCGCATTTGGTAGTGTCTATTCTTGTCCTTTGCCCATTTTTAAAATAGAATTATTTGTCCCTTATATGGTTTAATTGTTCAAGTTATCTATGTATTTTGGAGTTTAGACCCCAATGAGATATATTGCTTGTAAATATTTTTCCCAATCTGTGGTTTCTCTTTATATTCCTTTGTTAGTCTTTTGATGAATATCAGTATTTAAATTTTAGAAGGTACCAGTTATATAAATTATATTTTTTTGTTTTGTGCATTGTTATTTTGTTTGATAGGCTATGTAATATAAAAACTAGATCAATAGTTTTGTTCCTATGTTATCTTTCAGGAACTTTATTGTTTTAGCTTTAATGCAAAACTCTTTCATTCATTTTGATTTAATTTTTGTGTACCAAGTGAAGTATTGGCCCTATTTTATTTTCATGTAAATGGGTGTGGTAGTTACATAATCTGTGGTCAATTTGAGAGGATTAGGAGAGAAGGGATGGAGTCTAGTCTCTCAAGCATTGTGTAGCCAATGAGGCCTCTGTGTGGGCATGGCCTTTCCTTGAGTATCCGGGAATTCCAACATTCCTGCTTGGAGGCAGGAGACACTCTCTCTCTCTGCTCACTCCCTGCGAGATATTTCTGAAGAGAAGTCCCATGGACCTACTCTGATGTAGCCCTGGGAGCTGGAGAAGCCACACGGAGACCCCTGCCAGTGCTGAGATGCTTCTACTGCCCCTGGATCCACAAGACTTTGTGCCTACTGGCCTGTGATCTTCCTGCATTCAGAGTGATTGCATGTGTTTCATGAGTCTGAAGAGGACTTTATAGATTGGTATCAGACATCTAGGCTATTATTGGACTTATGGGCTTGACCTGGACTGGGCTATTTTCTCCATATTCAACTGCTCTTGTCTATAAGCTCTTTCCCATACACCCAGGGGTGTGTCTCTGGATTTGTTTCTCCAGTCTACCCTGACCAACACATGGATAACTAAATTTGCTAGCGCCATTTTTTAGAGAGACTGTCTCTTCCTCAATTAATTGATTTTTACACTTTAAACACCTTTGGCAGAGATAGTGTTCAGTTTCGTTCTATTTAGGAATATTTCTTTTGGGCTTTGAGGTTCTGCTCTCCTTGTATTAGATTTTTCATAGTGAGGAAATCTAGTGTGTGATTGGGTCATCTGTCCTCACAATGATTACCGTATATACTCGAGTATAAGCTGACCCAAATATCCACCAAGGCACCTCATTTTACCAGAAAAACTGCATTGAAAATGTGCTGGAAAACTCGGCTTATACTTGAGTACATACGGTATCTTGAAGTATGACATATCATAAATTAGCAACTTTTCAGCCATCTCTTCAAGGACTTGCTAAATCAAAACTTCGATAATTGTTAAACTGTAATATTAAATATAATTCTTGAAAAAATCAAATAAATGTCATTACCCATTAACTCTTCTTATTCACTTTCTTATAGATGCTAATTATATACAATGACCCTTAACCTTCTTTTAAAATATGCCATACAAGTTGGTTTTATTGTGCATCATTAATGTTTGATAATTGTGCTACTCAGGGGAAATTTTTCTTTTTCTTTTTTTTGTTTCTCAGTGAAATCCCTTGAGTACAAAATGAGTAAATGATAAATATTACTTGCTGTTTTAACATGTAAAGTTGAAACTAAAATATCTCACTATTTGGTGGATATAGTCACACTTTATGTTAGTTGTTTTGATTTTTTCATTTTAACTCTCAATTATAAAAAGTGAAAGGGTGCGTGAACTTATATGAATAACACCTATGAAACTATTTGTACATTACTGGAGAAAACATTAGGGGTTATATCTTATATAGATAGAAAACAAATATTCTGCAGTTTATACAAATCAATTTCTGAACCTTGGTTCAAGTTCACACATAAATGTGTGAGAGGTGAGCACAGAACTACAGATACATATTTCATTTTTTAGCACTTTGTCACAACTTATATACAATTTCTTTTTCAGTTTCTCACTGAAATAATATTAGATGGACTTTGAGTAAATTCATAATTCCTCAACTGTTACTCATTTTTTGCATTCTAGAGGGTAATCCAGGGAAATACAAGAACTAAGGTAAGCACTTTATAGTTTGATTTTTTAAAATTGTAAATTAAGGTAATTTCTGTGAACATCAAAGGCGAGTACTTACCAGTAGTTTGACATTTTTCTGACCATGTTGTACTATTTTATTGTGTAGAACTATAAAATACAAGGACACACATTCATAAATGCATCTGCATATTGGCTTTTTATTAGCTATAAAATTGAATATAAAAATTGATAATTATGGATAAAAGGAATGGAAAGTTTTTCTACCAAGAAAAAGAAAAGTCTTCATTTTGGGGGCTGTAATTTTCCCTCAATGGTCAGCAATTTTTTATATCTCTGTGTGCCGGTTGATAACTTTCTAGAAAGAAATTTTTCAGTTACTAATGAAAGGAGGAAAATATATTTTGATAATGTTTATTTCATGAGTTCATGTAAACCAGAATATATAATTTTCATTTAGTCACTAATAAATGATAAAGCTGATTTAGGAAAAAATATGTTGTGAATTACTGTAATTTTTTTTAAATTCTGGAAATCGCCGTGATATTCGGACAGGTTATCAGAGCTAGGTTACATAAGATGGCTCCAAAAATGTTCGTAGAAAAATTAATTATAATGTAAATCTTTTTTTTCACTCATCACTGGGTCAACTCATAGTAACCCTGTAGGGCCGGGTAAAAGTAGCTGGGTGTGTTTCTGAGACTGTAACTCTTTATCCAAGCAGAAAGCCAGTCTCCTTCCTGGAGAGTGGCTGGGAATTTCAAATGGCTGATCCTTTGAATCATGATGGCAAGTACACAGTGAAGCAGCACAAACATTTTTCTGGGCAGGCATACATTTTGAAATGGGGACTGAGAAGAAATTTAGTGCAAAAAAGTTAAACTCTTAGGTCAATAGCAGATTTTAAAAGAAAGTTAGAAAGAAGGGAATACATTGGCAGGGAGGCTCATCTTCATCGGTGCCAGATTTCACAGAAGGATATTTGTATTATGTTGAATTTATTGAATGAGTTGTCTATTTCATTTATATATTTATATTCTAAATTGATTATTAATTATGGTAGTTTCCACAAAAATGTAAGAGGATTGCTGGAGATAGTTATGCAAAAATCCCCAATCATAGTACCTGGAACATTCATGTTGCTCACTGATACCTTCTCTTTCTCCTTTGTACTTTATTATTTACTCTAATTAATCTTTTAAAATTGTTTCTTCACCCTTTTTTGTCTAGTTTGGATAAAACCCATTTATCAAATGAAGAACCATTCAACGCAGACAGAGTTTATTCTTGTCGGCCTGACAGATGATCCAGGGTTGCAAATTGTAATTTTCCTCTTTTTATTTTTTACATACATGTTGAGTGTCACGGGGAACTTCACCATCATCATTCTTACTCTACTGGATTTCCGTCTTAAGACACCAATGTATTTCTTCCTACGGAATTTCTCCTTTTTAGAAATATCTTTCACGACTGTTTGTATTCCAAGATTCCTGGTGAGCCTAGTGACGAAGGACAGAACTATTTCCTACATTGGTTGTATGTCTCAGTTATTTTTCTTCATCTTTTTGGGGGTAACTGAATTTTACCTTCTGGCTGCCATGTCCTATGACCGCTATGTGGCTATCTGTAAGCCCTTGCATTACACCACCATCATGAGTAGCAGAGTTTGTTACCAACTTGTATTCAGCTCTTGGGTAACTGGATTCTTAATTATCTTTCCACCAGTGATCTTGGGACTGAAGTTGGAATTCTGTGCTTCCAATGTCATTGATCATTTTATTTGTGATTCCTCTCCTATCCTACAGATTTCTTGCTCTGATACACATTTCTTAGAAATAATGTCTTTTATCTTGGCTGTAGTGACTTTAATGATCACGCTGATGTTAGTGATTCTTTCCTATGGCTACATCATCAAGACAATTCTTAAATTCCCATCAGCTCAGCAAAGGACAAAGGCCTTTTCGACCTGTTCTTCCCACATGATTGTGGTTTCCATCTCTTATGGCAGCTGCATCTTCATGTACATTAAACCATCAGCAAATGATAGAGTAGCTTTAAGCAAAGGAGTAGCTGTTCTCAATACCTCAGTTGCCCCCTTGTTGAACCCATTTATTTACACTTTAAGAAATCAACAAGTGAAACAAGCCTTTAAGGACATGGTCCAAAAAGTTCTATTCACTTCAAATAAATGAGGAAATTTCAGTGTGAAAGCAAAATGAATTAAAATGTTGACCTGTTTACCTTGGTTTACTTTATCTGACTCTACATATTTTCATATTATATTGGCAATTTCAGCCTGTTTCAAAGCTCTTTACATGCTATCATTTTGGAGTAGAGATTGTATTTTCAAAACCTGCTTCTTTATAAATTAAAAAATTCAGATTACATTGGTTGCAAAGGTTTTCAATGATGAAGTGAGCATGTAAATGAGATGTAAGCAATAAGAATTACAGTGTTATGATAAAATGTGCCACTTAAAATAAACTATAAGGTCAAATATTTAGCCAAGGGAAATAGTTCAATGATAAACAGATATAGCATTATGATTTTTGGAATAAATAGGTTTCATAAGTGTAATTTTATAAGCAAATAGATTGTACAATTGTAAATCAAAGTAGGATTTAACTCAGTATTTTATTTTACAAAATGCTTTTTAATTTTGAAGGATTAAAGTAAAATGTGATTGTTTTGTCTGTTATTAATAGCTAAGAATATAACCTGTGACATCAAGTAAATTGTAACTCAAATTGTAAAATGTACCCCATTTAGTGTTTTGTTTCTATAAATACTTATGGGAGTAGTTCTATAAATACTTATCTTCCTTCCATGGAGGACCTGGTAGGTTTGTGGTTAGCAGTTCAGTGCTTACCTGACTACACCACTAAGGCTCTGTAAGAATCTAATTTTAAATGACCACATATTCTATATATTTTAATTAAAATAAAATATAAAATCCATCAGTGTGATTGATTTGAATTATGATTATGTAATTATTTTATCTTTTTCTTCAAAGATATAGTATAGTCCAGTTTCCCAACAAAACTTTCTTGAATAAATAAAGCTATTTTGAATTCTGTGTAAAAAAGACCTTATTTCGTCATTTCTCCCAAACTCAAAACCAAACACTTTGCCATCAAGTTGATTGCAACTCATAGTGACCCTATAGGACAGACTATAATTGCCTCTGCTATTTCTTAAGCTGTAAATATTTACAGGAGTCTAATGCCTCATCTTCCTTGTGTGGAGCGACTGGTGGTTTCAAATTTCTGACTGCATGGTTAGCAGTCCAACGAATAGCCCATTGTAGTCATGTTCCTGTATAATGCTAAATTTAATTTGAATGTCAGTTCTTTTGAGTTTTTAGTGATGTTGCTGATAATTACACAGGTTAGATCCTCAGAAAGGTGAGTAGAGTCAGTGGGATATTTAATTTTATTTTCACTGTTAACTGCAATATAGAAAATGGATGTTGTTCAAAAGAAATATGAGAAAGAAAGTGTGGGACTATTAATTCAAATCTTCTAGGATAAAGAGTGCTATTTAAAAATCATTGAAGAAAAATTAAAAAATTCCGAGTATTTTCTTAGGAAAGAAGGGCTCTCATGGCAGACTGGGTTAAGAGTTGGGAATAAATTCAAACCCACAAGTTCTCAGTTGGGAAACATAAGGTTTTATGTTCCCATAAAGATTTACCTCAGTGTCACAATGTATGAAAATGGACAAATGGCAGTAGGATTGGTTCATCTTCTAAGGTCAGAAATTAAACCCGTATCAATAAGTGATATATATTCTTGATATTAATTGGGGCCAATATTTAATGCTAGGTTCCAAACAATTTTAGATAAAAATTTTAGGTGTTAAATACTACTTCCAGCCAAAAAGAGAAAAGGATTCCTTGAGGAATAATTGTTTCTAAGTTAGGGTCAGAAACATACAAATTGTGTCTGGAATATTGTGTCTGGAATTTTGCCAGAAGAAAGAGATACTTGTCACAAAGATAATGGAAAGAATTTGAAACCTACCCAGTACCTGAGATGAGACAATAAGAGCATAAAATTATAATAATTTATTATATGAAACATAAAATACATAAAATTATGGGTGTATAATATTATGTGGTTAATAAATTGATTTATCACCAGTGAAATTGAGAAGAAACCAAATTACTGCCTCAGACAATGATGAAGGGAAAAGAAGTCTTTCTTGAATATGTCTGTATTTCTGGCAAGTAGATAGCTGATCAAACAAGATATTAACTCATAAATTCCAGAAGAAAACTGTAGCTTAGACTTGCTAATGAAATGGGGATTTAGGCAATCGTTAGGCAATTCAACAACTCATTGATATTGGGTAAATTTCAATTCATAGTGACCATATAGGAAAGAGTAAAACTGCCCCTGTGAATTTCTGAAGCTATTTGTGGGGGAAAAAGTCTCATTTTCTCTCATTGAGAAGTTGGCAATATGGAATTGCTGACCTTGTGTTTAAGCAGCCCAATGCATAACTCACTACATCATTGAAGTTTTTTGGTATATGCTAAACACTATTAGTAAAATGTAACTGAGGAAGTTTATAATATAGGTAGTAGGTTGCCAACATATGAACATACTGTTCAATCTAACAATTAATAAAGGTAACTTAGCCAGACATTATGTACTGGATGACACATTGCAATAGAAAGACTGTAGTGTTGTCTCTCAATAATTTTTTCTTAGATCAAGAATATAAATGAAAAATCAAAAAATTAACGTGTATGAAGTAATTAGGTGATGTAGAAACAAGTTGACTGATATCATAAAGAAGTAATCAGTTAGAAATCAACTGAATTCCAATATACCATTGAGAGCTCTGATTGAAAAAAAAAGAAAAGAAAACAATACCATTTACAATGGCCACACAAATGATGAGACACCTAGGAAGAAATTTAATCCAAGAAACAAAATATGTGTACAAAGAAAACTATGGAACATTAGTGCCCCAAACCGAAACACATGTATGTAAATGGAAAAATATGCCAGGGTAATGGATAGGAAGACTTAATAGTGTGAAAATGTCAATATTGCATTAAACAATCTACAAATACAATGCAATTCCAATCTAACCCTAAATTCATTCTTGAAGGAAATGAAAAAAATAATTACCTATTTCATACGGAGATAGAAGAAACCCAGAATAAGCAAAGAACTTCTCAAAATAAAAACAAAGTAGGGGGTCTTGTACTCCTAACTTTAAAGCCTACTGCACAACCACAGTAGTGGTAAAAAAAAAAAAACAGCCATGAATTAGTATAATGATAAATAGATAGACCAATGTCACAGGATGGACAATCTAGAAATGAAAGGATCCACCTCAGGCAAATGATTTTCAATAAAGAACCAAAAACATTAAACGGAAAAGGGCAACCTTTCAACAAAGGTTGCTAGAAAAATTGCATCTCCATCTGCAGCAGAATGAAACAAGACCCATATTTCAGCCCATTTATAAGAATTAACTCAAGATGGATTAAAAACCTAAAAATAAACCCTATAAGGATCATCAAAGGAAAAATTGGGACAGAATGAAGGGCCTTATTGCAAGTCATACAAAGACTACCAAATATAATAAAGGAAATAATCACAATGGAAGAGAAAAATAAAACACTTATAAACATCAAAAGAGTAAAACAAAAGCACCTGGGTTGGAAAAAAAGAGCTTTAGGAATGACAATAGTCGAGGGATTAATTGCTAAAATCTGCAACAACTCAAACACATACACACACACAAACACACATACAAACAATCCACTCAAAAGGTGGGCGTAGGATGTGAATAGATAATATAAGAGGGACTGCACTCGAATGCCTAAGAAACATATAAGGAAATGCTCATGATTACTAGTTATTCATTATATGCAAATCAAAATTATGTTGACATTATATGGCTTGTGGGCTTGCAATATGTGCAACCATTGCTGAAAGAGATATAACATTACTTAAAACAACTGGGGATAGAAATACTATACAATATGTTCCACTCTTTCTTCCTCCTCTTCATTTGCTCCTGTGTGCTCTGATCAGACATGCTTCTCTCCCTGTCCTCTGAAGTGACTTCTTCTGCTGGGAGTGGGGACTGTCCATGTAGTTGGGATTGGGACAGGCCCCTCAGACCTCTCTCTTGGTTCACTGCTTCATGCCAGTATGGTATATTGCATTCAAGCCCTGAGGATGATATTCCTGCTCAAAGCAGCCCATGCACAGAGAGGACCATATGGCCAGCCCCACTACCAGACGTGACATCCCTCACTCACCCATAGTGCTACAAGGGGACAACAATAGAGACATAGTGTGGGAATTGTGCCTGATCTGAACCCACCACACTGAGGTGAAACACAAGGGTGTGCAACAGAACAGCAAGGGGGACAGAGCAATGAAGTCTCCAGGGAATACCAAAACCAGACTGTGGGGCCAGGGCATGGCATCCCATCAGACTTGACCAGAAAACACTCCTAAAGGTCAACAAACAACCTTGAAATATTTACAGGCTTTTTCTTTTTTGTGTCGTTGTATTTTGTTGTTGTTCCTTTTTGGTTTTTTTTTTCTTTATTGGGGGCTCATACAACTCTTATCACAATCCATATATACATTCATTGTGTCAAGCACATTTGTACATTTGTTGTCCTCATCATATTCAAAACATTTGCTTTCCACCTGAGCCCTTGGTATCAGCTCCTCATTTTT